AGACATTCTTTCAAAGTTGTAGATAAGAGATTTGGGGGGCCATTAGCATAGAGGTGGTAGTTGATACCATATAGATGAGTGTGATTGCTCAAGAAAAGGATATAGAGTGAAAAGAAAAGGACTGGGAAGGCAAAATTGAAGGACATCAATATTTAAGGATAAACAGAGGAAGAAGAGTCAAGACAAGCGACAAATCATGGGCAGAAAAATAGAAGTGCTAGAAGATAGTTTCTAGAGAAGCGAGAAAATAAAGAGTTTGAGAAATAAACAGTAGTATGAATGCAGGCTGAGTAGGATAAACGAAGTCACTGCATTTATTAATTAGGAGTTTATTTGTAACCTATATGTGAACATTTCAGTGGAGTCTCTAGAGCAGAAGCCACACTACGGAGACTTAATGAATATTTAAGAGATAAGGATGTGGAGGCAACAAGTTTTACACTCATGTTTTGTATAATTTGAAAAGTAGAAAAGATAATAGCTAGATGTCAATGAGAAAGTAATTCCAAATAAGTTGAGGTTTTTCTTTTATCATTTGTTCTATTTTTTGTTTTAACATAAATGTTATTTGAGCACATTTATAGAATGGGATAATAAAAATAATGATGGAGGGATGAAAGATAGGGATGTTTGCTGAAACAAAAGAAGGAACCAAGAACTCTAGTTGAACAACATTTTTTTTTGGAAATGATGCTTGCTCTCTCATAGTGGTGCAGTTAGCATTTATTAAAGGATTTTCTACAAAAATCTTGAGAAGGATATGCCACCTATCAGAGTAATGATCAAAGTTTTGACCCTGAGGAGATGAGGGTCAAGGAGCAAATGTCCTTCTTCATCTGCACTTTAGATGAACAAATAATGGAACTCTGATGAGCTGTATGTGAGGAGAGGCAGCCGAGGAGCCTGTGGAAAAGAGAAAGGAAATGAGATAGTAATGAACTCTGTGGAAAGGGAATAAAACTCATACTAAAGATCCTTAACTCCTTTCATACAAAGTCTTTATTTTTTCAAGAGTTTGTGTGATCAAAAGAGTTTAAATGCCACTTTCCAAGATACTAATATATCTCTAGCAAGACCTTGATGGTTGGTTTAACAATTGCCGTTGTAGAGGCTAAAATAACATGTTCTCCTTTTAGGTCCCTTAGGGGACTTTGTGCTGAAAACGAAGATGCTTTCTGGGTATGGTGACCATATTTTTGCAACCAAATATTAGGATGTAATTTGACATGGTCTGGCAATGAGACAGATATTTGAAATCAGGATTAAGTTAGTAACTTCAGAATATATGGTTTCTAAGAAATGAAAGATGTCAAAGGCAAAAGTATTAATAGCCAATGCAAATAAAGTGTCATTCTAAAGAGAAAGAACATTCTGGATATCAAGATTTTCTCTGAGGAAATCTGTTCCTGCTTCTTTCTGCCCTTACCACTTTCCTCGATATTTGGTAAATTGCCTAAACATGCAGGACACTGAACAAGACGCCTGGATAGAAAGCTACCATGAAAGTTCTAACATGGAAGATATATATTTATAAGAGAACAACTGGAAGATAATGTTGTGTAGACAATAATAGTAAAAAGCACAGTGCAAAAGCTGAAAGTCCTTACTGCCTGAGACGAGCAACATTTGGGAGAAGCCTTGCACAAAGAGGTGATAAGTGAATTGCCTTTTAAAGAAAAAGTAGAAGTGAGCTCTAAGGAAAAAAGAACTTAAAAGATACCTTGCCTGCTAGCTATCTCTTCCAGATAGCTCATTTATATTACCCCAGCTCCATGGGGTAAAATATCTCAAAGGTATAAAAATTCAGATCTACCTATGTATGACTAAGATTTATTCTGATCATTAGAACCATACTTTACTAGCCTAGTATGTGGAATTCCCAAACCTTTCAGAGTGTGGATAAAATCTCTTTTGAGAGCTTTACTATAAATTCAGAATTTGATTCAGTATTCTCAAATTTTCATTGAGTATATTCCTCTTTACATGGAGCCATTTATTTTTTTCTTTTTTTGTCAACCAACTAACTTGTTCATACACACATGCTGTTTCAGTTTCTAAATTAGAATAAATTTATTAATGTGACTTTTGAAAGCTCAAATTTTTTCTTGTCTTTTTTTGGCTTTTACTAACTCAATAATGAAGCAAAAAAAAGTACAAGTTAATTCTGATGTTTGATATCATGTGAATTATAGAAGTAGGCTAAGATTTAAACCTTTGTGGAAAAAATTAGGTAGCTTTTTACCTTTTCAAAGTAGCCAGTGGTTTGTAATATACACTTTTGGTAATTTAGACAATAAACTCTCGAAGCCCAAATTATTACTTTTCACAAATTTGATGGAGTTTGTAGGAGTAAGAAAAACTTCCTCAATTGTCATATAAAGAAATGCAGAAAAACTCAACAACTGGTAAAATTCCTGCCTAAAGAAATGTTTTTATAATTAGATGAGTATGAGATTTATGCCCATTATTATTGCAAAAACCTGCAATTTGAATATTGGCCTCAAAATTATTATTCCTATTTTGATGGTTTAATGATATGGTTTGGATCAGATAAATATCAAATGCTTAACTGAAACTAAAAGTTTTCTTTTTTTTCTTTTGATCTGGTTATAAACATTCTGTCTGCATCTAATTAGAAACTCATGCTTCTATCAGGAAATGAAAACTGTCAACCAATATTTAAATTGCTATAGTTTGATAGTTTCAGATTTTCAAGTAACATCCAATTATTCAATAAGAAATCTTCATTCACAAAATACCTAAGGTGAACTAAAACAATTTGTAGGAAAATAACATAATTTTATCCAACTGACATATCTAATCATTTTCATATGGGTTTAAGGTCATCATCGTAACAGAAGAACAAACTACTTCAATGTGTGTATCAAACTATTATAAAAACAAAATAAAGATTTTAAATAAACAACCCCATTTCCTGAAGAGAACTCTACTGTCTGAGCCCTTTCCTTGGTGGTAGCAGATGTGTGGATGAGGAACTACCACCTACCACCCTACACATTTTGCCAAGGTGGAGAGAGGCTGAAGAAAACTATATGGGAGGCTTTCTCTTTCATTCTATTCCCCCAATACTTTTGTCCAAGTGAAATTAGGTTAAAATTGGTCTTAAGACAATATCAATAAAATATAAAAAAATCATTCAGCTTGCATTGTTGCCTATGATTGGGGCAGACAATCCACATATGTTTTCCTGGTTAAAGGTTGGGAGTTATGGTTTATTAGGCTAATTGTGCTTAAATATATATAGGTTTGAGATCCTTTTGAATAGGTACTATCTAATCATCTTTCTAAATCACTCACTGCCTTGCTACTTGTAGTAGCTGAATAGAACTCTCGGAAAGTAGGAGACTCAAGGACATTCTAATTTTCCAACTCCTAGAGAAATCTATATGGTGGCCTGTGTGTCTGTAGGTGAGAGCTGTGAGCCTATCTGATAATGGAGACAGAAAAAAGATATAGAGTCCAGAAAAAATCATAATGGCTCTGATAGAAGGGCAGAAACTAACCAATCCTGAAATCACTTGGCTTTGAGTCAAAACTGACAAAAAAAAATGGTTTGATATAACCAATAAAGTATCAGAGGCCAAATGCAATTTTTAAATTTCTATTCCAAGGTTTTCAGTCACATCAATACAACTTAAAGCTACCCGGCAGCTGAGGCATATAAACAATACATCTCCCTAGCAGTTTCTTAATAATAGAAATGCTCTTGGAGGATTACAGAATCCATATATACTACTTTTTGGTCCTGGGCTGATTCCCAGGGATTTAAAATGCTGTTGGGTCCTATATATATATTTGGTGTCCTTCTTAGGTTCCATTGCTTAAATTAAGTCCTCTTTTAATTGGTTCTACTTACAAGAGTTGTCTTTAGCCCATTCTCTTCTTTTTCAATAGTAGACTAGCTTGTGCAAGGTTCTAAAGACTCAAAGGAAGATTGGCTTAAATTTCAGAGGATATTCTAGATTTCCATTACATGAATTTCTATGAGCTTAATACAATACATCTATTATGTCTTTCTATTTTGACAACTCATTCACAAAAACATAATTAACAAATGGTAGATTTTTCTAAATTGTCAAGTTTGTGTTGATCTTTAATTACAAAAATATTCTGCCAAGTTAATGGATTGATGTGTTTGTTTGTGTTTATTTATAGTATAACTTATTTTGTAATATTGATGAACACTTTTCAGAACTGAAATCAGATAAAAAGTTGTCTTTTAAAGTTTGCACTGTAAGAACAAGCATAAAGAAAGTTATCTTGATTTAATTATTTTTTTTCTTTTGCCCCCAAATATGCTCAATAGCTTAGTTCCAAACTACAGATACTTGAACATTTAAAGAGAAATGTTAAATAAGTAAAATGTGAAAGTTTGAATCTTGAACTCTGAGTTGTAACTCAACATCCAGGAAGCGAAGTCAGGCCTGTCACTTCCAGAAACACGTGGGCACGCGTGGACACTTTGTTTATCCTATTCCATTTATTTCTGTACTTGGGAAAACATGAAAACACCTTCAATTAAGATACAATGCAATACTCAAAAATTATTTTTTTTACCATTTTTTTCATTTTTAATGGGCTTATTTACAGAGATATTAAAGAAGAAAGTATATTATAAAGCAACACATAGATTCAACTAACATATTGTTAGTTTTTCTAAGTTATGAAGTTACCATGTCTTGAAGGTTATGTTGTTATGCCTTGCATCCCATCGCTGTAATTAACAAAGGCTTTGCTATCTAGCTCTTATTTGTATGCATGCTGTGCATTTCGATCAATTTTTCCATATATAAAAAGTTTTCTGGTTTATTTAGAATTTACTAAATTTTGCATTTGATTTCAAAGATAAAAAAAGGAAAGGAAATAAAAAAGTATACGTGGGTTTTAGTTTTTAACATTACCTTATAATAAGCAAAATGCATGCAAGAGAATGGCGTGTTTTCTTAGTACTCCAAAATAATACTGTTTATGATCTCTCTGCAGCTAGATCCTGAAGCTAGTACTATTCTAAAAGAACTTCAAGTTAAACTCAATGGTGTTCTGGATGAGCTCAGTGTCACTTACGGTGAAAGGTAAGTTATTATCTAAATACTTTCTATTTCAGTTAATAATAATCGTTTCTTCAATTCTGTTTCTCTGACTGGCTAAATCCATTTAACTTTGAGACTTAATCTAAGCATCATCTCCTCTGGCAAGTTTCCTTGGCCCTGCAATCTTATAGTGATGTCTTGCTATGCGCTCCCCAGAACTCTGTGTCATTTATTCAGCAGCACTTACAACACTGTGCTTTAAGTTCTGGTTTACTCGTCTGTTTCCCCCACTTGACATATGCCTCATGGGGACAGAAACCATATCTCATCTCTGTTTGTAGTTCTAGTGTTTAGAACTTGGCAATTGGCTGTTGAAAGGACAGAGGGAGGAAGGAAGGGAGAAAACCTTTACATACGTAAGAAGTATGAGTTGCATTCATGCCATATATGTCAATGTGGTTGTAGTTCCAAATAACTGAACTCCAACTCCATAACTGAATTAAATCAGTATTCTGGGTTTTAGGGCTTAGGAATCTTAATGCAGTTACTCAATGAGCAACTACTGTCACATTCATATATTCTTTATTTTAAAAAATTAACTTTGCTTGTCATGGCGTTGGTCTAAAGAGAGAGAAATTCATCCTATATAAATTTCATTTTAGTCCTATAGGAAAAAGCCATCATTTCATCACTAATTTTAAAATAAACAGGAAAGCAAACACATCTTTGAAGAGGTTCATTAATTTCATACAGAATTTGGTTTAAATATTAGCTCAAAAAATGCCGACTTACTATTTTAAACTATGTGTTCAGTTATTAAATGAAACTAAAAATCTGTGAACTCCACTCATCACTTATTATTGGGTTTTGGAAAGATACATCTTAATAAACATTTGTGGATTAGTTATGCCATTTTTAAATCAGAGATGCTAAAAAGAAAAAGACACCAAAAGCATCATATTTTTTATCTTAAATATAAGAGTGAGGCAAAGTAAAGAAAAATCCCATACTTGGCCTCCTCTTCAGTATCTGAGGTGTATTCATTGTCTTTGTGGAGCCACCTTCACAGTTCAGGTGCTGAGTGAGATGTAGCCTTGCTGCACTGAGCTTGGGGTTGTCATTCTGCCTTCTGTTTTGTGTTGTTAGCTGACCTAGATGATCCTGCTTACTTGCTTACATGTTAATTTGAAGGTTTTGTTTACCTGGAGTTGGAGAGACAGACATTGTTCCAGACATTTAGGGCCTCATTAGCACTGACTTGGGTAACACTTAGCAATGAGGCCTTCAGTCAGCTATTTTAGGCTTACCTCTCCTTATACTAATTAATATAGGGTTAGCAGAAAGACTATTTTCTTCAACCAGGAAGGCAAAAATAGAGATTGTTGAGCAAAGCCAGGGGGAGAAAAAAGGGGCCAGGAATAACAGCTAGGGGTGTTTGCAACTTTATGGGAAATAAGATGACTAAACTGAATGGAAACTAAAATATAAACTAAAATGTATACTCAAATTACTTTCTGTAATATATCCAAATCATCTTTATGAATAATACTTTTTGTTTTGTGTTTTGTTTTATGGGAGAAATGATCAGGTTATAAAAGCTGAAATAATGATTTGAAAATGTTAGAGCAAACTTCAGTTAGGAAATAAGGAGTGGTGTCTTAGGATGGCACTCGAAGTACTTCATTCTTTTTTAACCTAGATTTAGAAAGATACCTCTTAATAAACATTTATGGGTTAGTTATGCCACTTTTAAATCGGAGACACTAAAAAGAAAAGACACTGAAACCATCATATATTTTTAGCCAGTAGCTATTTCTTCATTAGTTTTTAAATACAGGAAAGAATTTAATATTTTGTTTTACTAGGGTTAGGATTATTAGAATAAATAACCCACATGTCATGCTTTCCTTATAAGAAGAATAATTCTTATGTCCATGTTGCTATGGTTTTATTTTCTACACTACTAACTAGGTCTATATCACACACACACACAGGATGGGTGGGAAGTTCGCGGTGATCAGTGTGATCATGCTGTGAAGTCAAACTGGATCATTTCAGTCTGAATCTACCCTTCTTAGAGTCTAAATTAGTGGTCTAGAGCTTTAAAATTAACTGCATAATTAGTTGCCCAAACTCCATTTCGTGTGTGTTATTAAAACCCACAATTAAATAATTCCATCTGTAGCTAGTGAGATGATTTTGCAGTAAAGCCAGGGCAGAGCCAAACCATACATCTGAAGCCCGGATTCCTGGATTCCTGACATGGTCACAGAGCACCTATCTGGGAACTGAGACTAAGTGATATCACCTCAGTACTATCGTAAAAATGTTCTTAAAATTTTCAAAATTTGTGCCACTTAGATTTCTTCTTACACACACATTTTTTAGTTTTTTGTTTTGTTTTTATTTACTACATTTCTTTTAATAATATGTTTGGTACCAACAAACATTACAGCTGGCTAAATTGAGTAAACAAAGAATTTGGGAACATTTCATAGGAATTCTGTGAATGTTTGGCTTCTTGGGTGCTCACAGAGTCTGTCACTAACTGGTAATAATTCAATCTGATTAATAAAAGACTTTTTCAACCAAAAAAATGGATAGAATTTGCCAAAAAATTATAGAGACAAAAGATTTTTAGATGAGATGCAGGTGTTGATTCACCCTGGACTCATGCCAAGATAGAATGCCAGTATATCATACACTGATAACCCTTCTTCCATATGTCTGATCTCACATACAGAGCTGGCTTCTGGTGGGAGTATGCCCTATGAGTCTGTTGTAGAAACCAGTGTGCACAATTTTGTAATATGAATGTCATGCCTTCTGCTTGGTCTATCCTCCACCCCAAGACATTGATTTGAGAATCAGTGCAAAAGATTATTATCTACACTCAGCAGAATCACTGATGACCCAGTGGTAAATCGACTAGTTCAAAATTTCCAGCATTATTTACCTTCCTTTTTTATTGCCCCAAATATCTACCACATCTACCCTCACTAAATACACACACTGCCACCACTACCAACCACCCCTTTCTTACCTTCTCCATCATCCCCATCACACTTCCCCACAACTACTACCTAACAAAAATTCAAAGGCAGGTCCAGCCAGGTAAAGGCCAAATGGTCATACGTTTGGATTCCTTTGGAGCTGAGAATGAAAGAAGATGTTTTATTGCATTAGATAAATATGCAGAGAGCCAAGAAGTGAACCACATCCATAAGGGCAAGCTGAGATCCAAAGATCACAGGACCAAATAAAAATGCCAAGTCCAGAGGGGCAAGAAGGTTGTCAACAATAAAGAAAGTTAAGAAGTGATAGAAACAGGCCAGCATGATGGTATAAGTAGAATCAAGCTTTGCTTATATGCTCAAAATTATAAACCTACTATAAAAGGGCCAAGAGCAAGAAAAACACCTAAGTTGAAATCATTAAAATCTATTGAAGATTTCCTTTATTAGGTAACCAAAAAAACTAGAAAATGAAATATTAGACAATAGGCTAATTAAAATATTTTCATAATATAGATTCTAAAATAAAAGTTCTCCGATGTGCTATGAAAACAAAAAAATTATTTATTTTGTTTATTAATGTATCTTCAGCACCTAGTAACTGAGATTGGCACATAGTATTAATTATTTGTAGAATGCATGTATACATTGGTAAATATTTATATTCTTTCTATTTAATAATGGAAGCATTATATAGTAAAAATTCCTAAAATTCTATACAAGATTTGAGGAATTGGTGCATTTAGATATTTCTCAACTAATAAGAAGTCTATAATCTTTGTGGACGGAGAAGAGGAGTGGGGCTGATTTGATTGCAATACTAAATGAACTCTTTTCCCCCTCATCATTTCTATTCTACTGATATAACCATTTTCCAGGCTTTAATTATCCTTATATTTTTTCTTGCGTGCCTGCACATGTGTTATAATTACTCCTGTTTCTGGGAATATGGAAGTAACAGAAAATATAGAGGAATGGTGGTGATGCCAAGTCTCCACTATTTAAATCTCATTTGTTGCTACTTTGGTAAAAACCATCAAAAATGGTGAACAGATATAAAAACTGAAAAAAAAAAAAAAACGCTAGGGATTACTCTTCACAGACTATTTAAATCCTTAGAGTGGTGAGGCAATAGGATTGGGTCGAACAAAGAGAGTCTATTGATACATTCAATCATTATTTCTTGAGCAACTTCTTTGTACCACATGTGACATCTTATTCCACGGCATGGGTATATATAGCACTGAAGAAAAGTTCCCTGCCCTCATAGAACTTACATTCTGGTTGGAGCAACAGGCAGTGAACAAATAAATGAAAACTATGCAACATATCAAATATTAGTGCAATTAAAAAAAAAGAACTATGAGGGGATGGAGAATGATAGAAATGTCATTTCACGTTAAGTGTTCAAGAAGATTTCTCTAAGGGCATGAAATATGTCATATACCTGAAATAAGTGAGAGACCAAGAGACCCATGAGACATTCCATGGGGGTGGGAACATAATAGTGGCCATGAGATAAAAGTATCCTTGGAGAATTCTACGAACACCAGGCAGGCTATTGTGGCCAAGAGAAGAGTCTCAAAAAAATGAGATCATGGAAGTTTCCAGGGTCAGATTATGTTTGGCTTTAAGTCCATAAAATACATTCTAGGTTTTATTCTAAGTGGATCTGGAAGCCATTCAAGATTTTTTAACAAGAAAGGAGTATGATTTGGTTTCTATTTTAACAGTATATCTGTAGAGGGTTGAACAGAGAGACAATTTAGGAAATTATTAGACAAGTTCAGATGAAAGATAATGGTGGGTTGGTGTAAGTAGGTTTGTGGAAGTAATAGATTCTCAGATTTAGGATAATTCATGAGGATTTGTGATGAATTGGATGTTCTACATAAGAGAAACTTAGACTTCTAAGTGGAAAGGCTACATAGGCAGTTTAATAAAACAGTCTGGAGTTCACATTAGATGGCATGTCTGCAGATGTATATTTTGGAATCACTAGTATACTGATGGTATGGAAGCCATGAGACTAGACATGATTGCCAAGAAAGTGATTTTTGATGGAAAAATGGAGTGGTCCAAGGATCGAGCCTAGAAAATTACAATATAGGGTTGCCAGATAATATATAGAATATGCCCAATTAAATGTGAATTCAGATCAACAATAGATAAAATTTTAGTATGACTATGTCTCAAATATTGCATAGGACATACTTATACTAAAAAATATTCACTATTTGAAATTCAAATTACCTAGGAATCCTGGATTTTTATTTGCTAAGTCTGGCAACCCTAGTCCAGTGGTTAGAGGTCAAGTACTTGAGAAGGAGCAGCCAAAAGAGTTTAGAGGAAAGCCAAGAGGGTGTGGAGTCTCAGAAGTCAATTAAAGAAGGTTTACCCAGATGCCATGTATCTTTCAGAACAGTTATTTTTCAAAACAGTTCTCAGAAAAACATCTCAGCTATTATGGTGAGAGGTGGGGGCTGAATGAACCCCTACTCAAATCAATTCAACCTGAAGAGCATTACTTTTATCTGCTTTGCATATATAGGTTTCAGGTAAGCTTCATTGCAACAAAATCTCTTTCAACTGAACATTGCATTTGAAAATTAATGAGCAAGGAAATTCACACCATTTGAAACAGGTCAATCTCCTCCAGGTTGAATTAAAAAGACAAGAGCAAAGGAGGACATAGATGCTTGCTTTTATTCCGGTATTATTATGTTCCTTATTTTTAGTTTCCAGTTTATCATTGAAGAGTGTATAAAACAGATGGGTTTTGAACTAAATCAAATGAGAGCAAATGGAAATACCGCATCTAATAAGAACAGTGCGGCGATGGATGCAGAGATTGTATTAAGACCTCTCATGGACTTCTTGGACAAAACGTAAGTTTCTTACCCAGTTTTCTCTTTTGACTCATATGGGTTAAGGGAAAAAAAAATGTTTTCCTCTATGTAAGACAGCTTTAAAAAGGCTCCTACAGAAATATATTAATTCATTATAAAGCAAAACACTTTCAGTCTATTACTAGATGGCAAAAAAAAAAAAAAAAACAGGAGTGATTGCAGGAAAGGAAAAATGGAGAGGAAATAAATATTGATAACCAAGGAGGCTGCTATTCTGAGGAGGGAGAGATTTGGGGTTTCATACTCCTCAGATAACACATTGTTTTGCAACCCACTGGACATAAAAAAGACTGAGTTGAGTCCAGAATAGCTGATTTCATGTCAGAAACCTGCTGAGGAAGAGAATAGCGCAAATGTGGGTAGAATTAATTCAGCTCAGAGGCAAGTAGATTGCTGCTCAACTCAACCTTCAATAGCTATTTGAGTGTCCTTCTGTACCAAACCTTACTGTAGGCACTAGACAGAGATGAACGGGGGATGCAGTCTCTGACTCCATGGAGGTTACAGTCCAGTTGGTGGGAGTCGCTGGGAACGAAGGCCTTTATGACCAACTAAGACAGTGTTCTTAACCAAAACTTGCTTTTTTTTTTAATGTTTCTGCTCAGTTATTATTCTTAGAAGTTCTAATTTCATAAGCTTGTAGAAGGATCAAGGGCACCTATGTTTTAAAATGTGTGCACAATTGGGAACCATTGATCTAAAGCAACCAGCGACATGATTTTTTAGACAGTGATGCTTAAAACCAGAACTGAAGATAGAAGAGAAACCAAAAAATAATTTCAAATGCCTACCAAGGGACCAATGTTATACCTGGTAGTTTACCTATGTTACCTCCTTTAATATTGTTGTGGCAAATCAATTAATACCAAAGGGACCAAAATAAATAAGAAAGATACGATACCTTTCTTTAAAGATAAGGAAAAGAAAGAAAAATTAGGGAAAACCTCTTCTCCATATTTATGACTTCTATTTTAATTCCACTTCCCTTTATGTATAATCTTACTACATAAGTAAGACTAATGTTCTTATCACTTTAATTTCAATATTTGGGAGACAAATTAAGTCTTATTTTCTTTATGAGGAAATATCTAGAACATGGACGAGTAGAGTAGGTAATTAGATAGCTAGCAGGAGGTAGGCAGGCAACTGAGTATAGAAGAAAAGTAGCAGAAAGAAGAAAGGAAGGGAGGGAAGAAAGGGAAGAATAGAGAAAAGAAGACAGAGAAAGACTTCATTTTTTTTAGTTTCTTAATGTACGCTTTTATCACCTAATTTCTTACACAGTCCTTTGAAATTTTTATCTTATTATATGGCTCTTTCTGTGGATAACACAGGATTGAATCACATGAACACACCACAATTTGGTTATAAATGTGATGGTGAATAGAGATCAGGACAAAGCAATCCTGATTCTCTTAAAATTCCTACTGGAATGCCTTCTGCTCTTAGAATTCTAACTACCAGTGTAGAACTATGTCATTTATCATGAGTAAAACTATGTATTTTTTTCTATACTGCAACCAAATGTTGTGGAACATACAAGAAATTTTTAGTTATCCTGATATTGTCAACTACTAGCCGAGGGACCTTGAATCTATTTCACCATCTATAAAATGGGGCTGATACATAAAGCAGGTGGACCCTTATTCTCAGTGTTTTTAGATTCTTACTTTACTCAGTTTTAATTATTAAAATTATACCTTATTATATCATCATATATGTTTTCTTCTAATTCTTAGTAGAAAAAGTGTATAAATATAGAAAAAACATCTATTAGCTTAAAAAATTTGTGAGATTTAAAATTTTTGGAAAACATTATTATATGAGGCAAGAAGAGTTACAGAAATTCTCAGCGCTATTTCAGAATGTGTAACCATAAAAGACACTTGTTTAGGGGAGATTTTTCAAAAGTCAGATATTAATTCTGTTCTCCAGGAGCCAATAGGTTAGAAAGAAAAAAATAAGAAAGCTACCCAAATAAACCCAATCATGTATAGAGTAATAATCTCCTTCTCAGTCTATCAGTAGAAATTCCATTTGGATTGGGTCTTAAATGTGGATAGGGTTTGAATGTATGGAAATGAGGGAAGGGCATTCCAGGGGGAGGGAGAAAAGCCGGAAAAGTTTTCATGAAACTCTGATCGACTATATGATAGAAAGTCTCTATGGCCTGCTAGTATCATGGCATTTGAAAATTTTCTGGATAATTGGTTCTGTAGTCAGTGACTCTAGATAGCTCAGGTTCCAAAATAAGTGCTTTTTATCTTACATTATCAAGTTGATTAATTCTGACTAAATTAAGGATGCAGTTGTTAGATGCCTGTTTTTTCTTTTTTCTTTTTTTCTTTTTTTTAGTTATTTTAAATGAACAATAGAGAGCCAGAAGTTTTCAAGGTGGCTTTGAGAAAAACCCTTTAGAAATTGTGTCATGCTATAAATGTGTAGGTTCTCTCTGTCTTTATGCAGCCTCTTTAAGTGAAACATCTTATTTGTTTGTTTCATTTTCTCCACCAAGACCTCACCACTCTATAAAATGAGCTGTAAACTCTACTTCCAGGTGACAGAAATGCCATGTGGAGTTGAAAACATGTCAATGATTTTATACCTATTCATTCAGTTCCAGTCCAAGCAGGGTTAGTTAACATGCCAAGTACATAAGCTAACCGTAAAAACAAGATCGGTTCTTAAACTCAGACCTTTTGAAAATGAAAATTATACATCTGCTGCAAAACTGGCAGATCTGTTGTGTCTCACAACATCCTAGTAATTTGTCTGAGTTCAGGTTCTGTTGTTCTGCCATGACACATCTGCTGGCTTCTGCTGTGTCCAGATAATGGCCATTAGCAGGCTAGACATGCGACCCCCAAACAATGGCCTCTAAACCAGTGGGGCTACGTATGGAGTTCTGTGGATATGCCTGAGGGGTCCCAACTCTTCTCTTCATCCAGAGGAGGTTGTTTTCATGTGTTTTATGTCTATTAGGTGTCCACATACAGTAGTGTTAGGAAAAATACTTCTACATGAAAATGTATTTTGAAAGTCTCTCCCTTTGCCATTCACATGCCACATACCTTTTAATATTAATGTTAGTTATTTAAATGTTAATATTATATATTTAAATATTTAAAACAGTCATTTCTGATTCTATCAGAACCAGAACTCAGCTTATAATTTCTGAGTCCAAAAGTATGCACAGTACTTAGAGTCAATGAGGCTACCCTGTCTATATATATATATATTCATATATATATATATATATATGAATGACACCTTTAGTCCACTGTGAAACAGGTTAATTAACTCCTATTAAAGGAATCTCAAAGAGTTCACATCATATTATGGTATTTTAAGTAAATATGTATGCAGCACTGTGTCTTCATATACTTCTGTGCTTTCATACACAAACACCTTTATCAAGAAGGTAGGGCTTTGGATGACATACTGGATTCAGAGGAAGATAGCCTGACTTTGAATTTCAGCCCTCACTTATTAGTTTCACTTCCTTGGACAAGTTCCCTAACCTCTCTGAGCCTGTTTTTGACTTCTAAAGTGGATATAGTAATAAATGAGAAATATCTGCAGAAGAGATTTCTAAACTAAGGTGTTATATAATTGCCAGATGATGTCACCATCATTATCTCTCCATGAGAAGACTCTGTAAGAGATACCTTAAACCTATTAAACTTTGTAAATTTGGAATCTAAAAAAAAAACCTGAACTCAGAAACAGAATGATTCTAGTGTTTGCCTGAGGTTGGGAGGCGGGGGCGGGTAGGGGCAATTGGTGAAGGCAGTCAAAAGGTACAAACTTCCAGCTATAAGATAAATAAGTCCTGATGATATAATGTGCAGCATAGTGACTATAGTTAATAATACTGTATTGTATATTTGAACATAGCTAAGAGAATAGATCTTAAAAGTTCTCATCACAAGAAAAATATTATAACTATGTGAGATGATGAATGTTAACTTATTTTGGTAATTATTTCACTATGTACACATATAATCATTATGTTGTACACCTTAAGCTTACACAATGTTATATGTCCGTTGTATCTCAGTAAAACTGGAAAATAAAGTTGGTAAATATTGGCTCTTGAGTGAAGTTACATGCATCTTTGACATCTTGTTATGTTGGTACAGGGCCAGGTAGTGATATAAATGTATTTCCTTGGTGTTTGGCCTACACCATGAATATGGGGCATGGGATAAATACAAGTTGGGAATGCAGGTGAAAATCACATACTTTGGAAGTCTTGATGTCAATTTAGGAAAGCAATTGTAGGAGAGAAATACTCTGAATTCATTTTCTACCAAGGAGATAATTATCTAATGTAAAGCATGATAAAATAGATTTTTGATATTATGTATTTTTTTCAGTAAATGAAGTTTAGCATTTGAAAATTATAAAGGCCTGTTCAGGTATTTGAATCTCAGTATTGAAAAAAATGTGAATTTCTGTTCATTAAAATAAGTTGATACCTTGATATGAGTTTTAGAGTGATTATATGCGCTATTTCAGATTAAGTCTCTCAGCAAAAATCTGTGAGAAAACAGTTCTGAAACGAGTTTTGAAAGAGCTGTGGAAGCTAGTTCTTAACAAAATAGAAAAGCAAATCGTTCTCCCTCCTCTGACAGACCAAACAGTAAGTATTTAAAGTTTTATTATACTTTTAATAACCCATCTAATTGTTTTTTGTTTACGTGAACAATTTTGATCCAGATGAAATATTAATTGAATCTCTTTTGGGAAAAAAAAGTTTGGTATACAGTATTTTTAAAATGATGATTCAAATAACATTCTCTTATACAAATCAATTTTAAATAGTGGCAATAGCAGTCAAATTTTATCTCTTGGAAAAAAATGTATCTAAATTCAATTTATAGGGTTATCTAGTCTACACATAATTTTTAATTTTACTGTGAACCTCCAGGGAAATAGTTTTAGGATAGAACATCCCCACTGTGTTTCTTTCTGAAATCTTACAGTTTAAAAAGATAAATCAAGCAGTGCCTTGTGGGTTTTTTTTCATCTTTACATTTTACTTTTATTTATTACCTTCCCATTTAGAGATTAATAGAGGAGACAGCTTTTAGTGGCTTTGAAGCACATGATTATATCATATACAGTGAAATAAACCAAAAGATCAATTGACAGCAAAGTTAGACAGTGGGCAAATGGATACACAGTCCAGGTATCTCAGTTCCCTTATCCTGAGCTAAGCAAAGAAAAAAAATAATCCTAGCAAGCACCTGTCATGAAGTAATGTTTTTTTTTCTGGGAGGAAGACGAGTTAGTGCAAATAATGAGTAATTATAAATGACACTAAAATATGTACTGATGCCATTAATCATGCACACTTGGTCTGTATTTATCCAATGAAATTATACAGAAAATGTTTTCTTGTAAAGTGTTCCAAGATGCAAAGATACATATGTTTTTCTTGATTTACTGCCAGTCAGTGGGTGATAAAATATAAATTACTTTGAGTTTTGCTTCATGCCATTAATGTGTGGTATAATCATTGATAGCCTACATATGAGGGGAGCCAAATCACATTTATAAACACACGCATATCTTATTCTGCTACAATACACAATGTATTTCTGTAATACCAGTCAGCAACCAATACGAGAATGATGTCAGAATAATCTGGAAATTGGGTTGTTTATATGAAAATTTTCCTAGGTGAGAGGCTCTGGAATAGAAAAGCTATGAACTCAGCTTGGCTACTACACAGGCAGGAGCCCTTTCATTCCTAATTTTTTAAAAAAATTAAAAGGCAGAGGAGGGCCCACTTGCCCATAGGCTTTCTATCCAGAAAGATACACCTTGCGTGGCTCTCACACATGGCAGGCTATCCTTCCCCTGTGCTCAGAGCTTCACTTGTGAGGGTACTGTCTCAGCCCGTAATTGTACTCGATTGTTCTGTTGTTTGTTTGTTGTTGTTGTTGTCGTTGTTGTTGTTTTGTGGGGGGGTTGCATTTTTAATATTCCTTGAGGAAGTCACCAGCCTCACTGAGCAAAATGCAAGCAGTCTAAGCTGTCTCCCAAAGTAGCATTTATTGTTTTTGACAGTTATTCAGCAATAAAATTGTATGAGCTTTGACTATGTTGCCCACTGCTATTTTCCCCATGAGCCCTACTATTTCTAGTGTACAGTTTTGTAGAATATGAGGTTTTTTAAGAATACATACATTGTGTTATAGCAGAAATGCTATATATGACATTTCAATTTTGATGTAAGTTCTTTCCTAGGAAAGCTCATCATCACCTCGATTTTCTCTAGCATTGAGATCCCCAAGTATGAAGCTATCTTATATATTCATTCATTTAGTACCTGTTCTTTGAGTTTCTACTATGTACTAAGCACTGTGCTGGGTGTGGGGACAAAATATGAGCAAAATTAGATGTGATTGCTGTTCTTATTAACTTTGTAGTCCTTAATTTCCTAACGAATATACAGATTCCACTAAAAAAAATGGAGAATGGTACTCCAAAATGGCTGATTACTTATTGTGAAAATAGTCTAGGCTGCTAATGAAATTAGCCAAATTTAGTACTTCTGTCACATTTACCAACAGGCATGCCTCTAGTTTTTCATTCCAGTAGTGCTTTGGATAGTTTATTTCGGTGTTTTTCATTCTTCCTAGAACCTTAGGGTTCCAGGAAAAGTTTCCAGTTGAGGGTGGAATTGAAGGCATGTCTCTGATTATACAGCATTTCAGGAGGAACAGCTCCGCCTTCTTCAGCTCTGTATCTTGAAATTTGGCATACATTGATTTTGGGAAGGAATGGAGTAAGGGAGTTGCCTCTAATGAAAATGAATTAATAAAACTTAAAGATCACAGATTTAATCTAAATGCCAAATTAAACTGGCTACATTAGCAGCAACCCATTTAGTAACTTCGACTTAAAACTTTCAGAAGTGGGATGCCCATAAGGACATAAGTTATATTGCCAGAAGTTCTAGATACCTTTGACCCAATCTGTAAAATAGACTGATTAAAGACATCTGGCATAAAAGTCATAGATATAATAAGGAAATAAAACAAATTCTCTATTGTCCACATTTCTACTATGAATATTACTAAAGATCTTAAAATTGAGTCTTCTCTTTTTTTTTTATGTGTATCTCTAGGGACCCCAGATGATTTTCATTGCTGCTAAAGATCTTGGACAGTTATCCAAACTGAAGGTAATAATAAAAAAAAATTACTGGTTGTCTGTGAAAAGTTTTGAGGTAACTACAGCTCTGCAAGAAACCATTCTCCTACCAGTAATGATATCTAACACAGCAGGACAAAGAAGATATGTGTTCGTGATCTCACAATCTGCTTCAAGGTTGGATCAGGTCAAAATATATGGATGGAATTTTGCTTCTTTATTCATTCTGCTATATTTCTGATATTTTCCATTTGGTAGGGCAACTAGGAGTTTTTGACTTTATGTTGTAGCATTAGGCATTTCTGCTTTTGGAGTAAATTAGAGAATATATTTTCTTTCATATACTAAATTGACTTTATATAAATAATGGCAAAATGGAACACTTCATAGAAATCCAGTAAAATCTAGAGAAGTCTTATAGATGAAAAACTTAAATGAGAAAATGAAACTCATTAAAGCAGGCATTAAACTTGTCAACATGTTCAACCCCATTATAAAAGAGAATTTGCTGACTAAATAACCTGCCCTTTATTATTGCTTGAGATTCACAAGACTCTGCAATTGTGCAGGCACCTCAGTTTCTGTTCCACTAGGAAAGAAACTTGACTGGTTAAAATACATATGTGCTTCTGTGACTGGCTTATTTTACTTGTCATAATGTCCTCTGAGTCCATCCATGCTGTTGCATTATGGGAGGATTTCCTCCTTTATAAAGGCCAAATAGTATTCCATTGTATATATACCACATTTTCTTCATCCATCCATTCATTTATCAATGGACCACATATAGGCCAACATTGTGCCTATGTTGAAATACATGTTGTTTTGTTTCATTTCTACCTATTAGAATATAGTGTAGCATGGGGATGGGTTACAGACACAGATCACCGTGATTCTAATTCTACCTCAGCTGCTTTCAACTATGTGACACTAGCCAAAGTATTTAACCTTTTTAATCTTCAGATCTGACATCTGTAAAATGTGGAAAATGTTAATGTTTGGTTTATAGGATTGTTGTGAGGATAAATGAGATAATGCATACATTATCTTTGCATGGTAACTGCAAAGAATTGCCACCTCCCACTCACAGGAGTTATCATGCCTTCTTCCTCAGTGGCAGCTCAAAGTTAGTAGCACTGGGATTGTTCTGTTTGTACAACACAGAGGGAGGATAATTCATTTGACTGTGTAATTACTTGCCAAGATAAAATAGGTGCCCTATAATTTCAGAATCCTATTTTATCACCTACATTATTCCCCTTTTACAGGAAAAAAAATGCCGATAATCCATTTAGAAGACACAACCATTACCTAAAATTGTTTCTTACAGGTATTCAGTGATGTTGATAGTTCAAAGGGAAGGTAGAAGATAGATGTCATTGCCAAACTATTGTTTTGTATCCCAGATCTCTATCTCTTTCTTTATCCCTCTATTACCTCCCTGGGATTTTTAGTTTCTACTTTGAAAAGTGGATTTATATAGTGTTAAAGTTTCTCATATTAAACCATGAAGGTGAAACATCATAGCATCTCATTACAAAAGAAATGGACCTGGCCGTGCTTCTAGCATCTGTGCAATATTAGGAAACATATTCCATCTCCCCGAGCTTCGGTTTCCTGCAAGGATTGTTATTTCAGCTAGAAATATTTCAGTTTAAGATGATGAAAAGCCATACTAACATAAGCAAGGAGGGAATTTATTGCTACATGAAACCATAGAGTCCTTGGGTAACTCTGGTTTGCATCACTGCTTGATTAAGAACTCAAATGATGTTATGGAACCCAGTCACTCACTATCTCTCAGCTCTGCTCTCTCCTTGTCTGCTGTATTGCTGTAACAGACTTCCTTTCCTGCTTGTAAATGGTGGTCTCTGCTCTATATCTAACATCTTTGAACTTGAAATCCTATAAGAGAAGAACACCCACCTCGATGCAAGGAATTCCAGCAAAGTCCACTGGCACATCATCACCTCTGATGGAGTGTTATCACCATTCCCAAGCCAACCACTGTGGCCTGGGGAGTGACATATGCCACTTGGCTTAACTCACAAACCCACCCCTGAGCTGGGGATACAGTCTGCCTTGTTGAAATCGTATAAACTCTGTGTGGGATAGAGATTGGCTCTCCACAGGGCATATGCATGCTAGGTGGGAAAAATTAGAGTCTACAGAAAACATAACAGTTTATGTCCCTTTGCAGCCCCCAATTTTTTCAAGTCAATGAATTATCTTATGATTGTAATAAACTAAAAGCAAATTATAAATAAAATGTCCAAATTATGAATAAAAAGGTTATTTCATCAATACTGAAATAATCTGCAGGACTAGAAATAGAATCTTGTTATACATAGGTGATGGAAAATAACTTAGTTCTGTATCATATTTTTCTATTACTGACCTTTGATTTTTTTAATTATTAAGTTATTAGTCCATTTAATTATTGTTTGTATTACAGAACAGTAAGGCTTCAACAATCATATGGAAAAACTTAAAAATCTAGCCATAATAATGAAACAGAATTTTGCAAAGCTATTTTCCCTTATTTTACTAGAATGTTACTACCAAAGGTTTTTTGTTTGTTTGTTTGTTTTTCATTTTAAACCATGGGTCTTTATATTTTTTGTATATATTAGTTTGGAAGCAGGATTAATCCACTGGAAAAGTGCTATTTCAAATAATTGTACCAACGGATAAATTTGGAAATCCTATATAGAAATATTAACAACAACCTTACTTAAAAGATCAAGGAAAATAGAACAATGAGATAACTATGGTTTGAGATTAACTCTTAAAACAAGGATTTATTCAGCAGTCTGACATATTCTTTATTACCTCGTGCTTCTGGAACTCCATAATATATGTATATTATGTATACCAAACTAATTACTATTTAATGAGATCAGATTTATTTGTCAATTTTTTAAAAAAGAATACATCTTCATGTTTAGGTAATATAATATCAAAACCAATTAATAAAAATACATCAGAGACTATGTATTTACTTCAAGCAAGTTATAACTCATTGGGCAATAACTCATTGCCATTCTCTTTCAGAGACTCCCTTGTTTGAATGGGCTATTGTTAAATCCCAGAAAAATTATTTCTAGCAAGAATTATATTTTTCTCCAGCACCACATATCTTATTTATTAGCATCTATTAAAAAATATGACCACATCATAAAGCCAGTCAAGACCAATAAAGCCAGAGAGATTTATTAATATAAAATATTTGTGTTTACTTTCCCTAAAGCATTTCACCCTATAATTCAGCAAATATGTTCCATTACTCTTTGAGTCTCAGAGGGTATTTAATATTCCTGTTTAAAAAATATTAAATGAATTCATGTGTTGGTGTTGAAATCTTTATATCAGAGAAAGATGCTGTGAGATGCAGAAGTGAATACCAGGGATCTGTGAAGCATTATACCATAGTTTCAACAATATTCAAAGGAGTATGAATACATTTAAGCATGTTGTACCCTACAAGATAAGCTGAAGGAAGTACAATTCAATTACCAAAGATATATTGAGTGCCTAGCAGGTGATAATTGCCAAGATAGGCACTGAAAGCCTGCAGAAGTGAGTAACAGATAGAGATTATTTTAAGGAAGTTGTGGCATCTACTAAATAACAGAATAAGGGCTACAATTGAGGGATGAGCCACTAGTTGTGATTGTACAATCTGTGAAATGCACAGAGTGCCTAGCTAAGGGAAAGACTGATGGTCACAATGAAGCCATGTGTGCTGATGTGGAGCTGTGCTCCATAGAAAAATGAGACAACTTTTATTACTGCCCAAAGGCACTGATCCATTAATCAAGCCATATATTCTCAGAGGTGTGTCCTCCCACATGGTCTTTTCCTCTAATTCACACAAAGGCACTTATAGAAGTTAGAATTTAAGTTCCAGAAGAGTAAAAGTCTTTCTTTATTGAACAATATGTCTGAATCACCTGGAACAGTGCTGGCACATAATGCACTCATAAATATTTGTTGATTCTTATTGACTAGAACAATAGCAACCCTGGGAACACTGCATTAATTTGGAAGGTCAGGAATTTTTTAATTTTCTCTTAGAAAAATTTCTGTTTCCTTTATTATTGTATTCAGTTTTCTACCATCATTTCCCTAAATAAGCTTTGAATGATGGGTTGAGAAAGTCCACAGTGAACAATAAGGAAAATTCATTGTAAAATATGGACATCAGTTCTAAAATGTTGAAAAATGATTTTAAAATATTGAAAATGTCCAGACTCAAATTCATTTAATTCTTCGGGGCTTTTCCTAGTAATGACAAAACATTATGGGGATCCAAGAAAGAGAATAAATTGGAGGCATTATAAAGTAGTCTTTATCAGTAGTTATTGGGAGAGGCTAAAATTCACCTCTTAAATCCTTTCCATAATTAACTTTCCTTAGTGTTATAAAACATAAAGCAGAGAATTAAGGATGAAAAAGATTAGATACACGCATTTTCCAGGTTTCTCTCTTTTTTTTTCTAACATTAACTTATAAGTGGAAAAAAAAAGACACCATACAAATCAAGTACTGCACTTTAAGTAAACATTTAACATTTTTTTTGGCAAAATGGATATTTATTAAATATATGACAAAATTATCTAAAAAGTGTCCATTGAAAGAAAATATTTCAAATAGAAAATGTTTGTATATGGGAACTATACAGACTTTGTTTGAAAATAATTGTTAAACAAATAAACTGGTTATTTTATAAGCAATTGTAAACCTGTTTTCCAGGAGCACATGATTAGAGAGGATGCTAGGGGTCTGACGCCAAGACAGTGCGCCATAATGGAAGTGGTCCTGGCTACCATCAAGGTAAGGGTATTAAGCACTTGGATATGCATACAGACTCCTGCTGTACCCTCAGAGAAAGGTACCCCAGATACATATTAGTGGAGCTGTGTTATCCATGGATAACAGTTGTATAGATAACATCTCCCGAGTATGTCAGACAGTTGTATAGATAACATCTCCCGAGTATGTCAGATTTAACCCATACTATTTCCTTATCATATTCATATTACTCTGCCCTTATGCTTCCCTCCTTTGTCTATCTCTAAAAAAAAAACATGTGAAACCTATGTTGTAAAATGTATTTTCAAAGAAAGGCATATCCTAATTTTTCTTATGTGTTGTTATATGCTTGTCGAAATAATGTTTGAAAGATCAATCTTCTCCTCTCAGTAAGCGCGATAATTTAATTTTCTGCTAAAAACTCAAAGGCATTGCATTCAGTGCATCAATTTTTCACAGGCATAGGTTGACCAAAAGTTGTAGTGTGGGCTAAATGTGTGCAGATCTCTAAATTTAACTTAGAAGTTCTTTGTTTTCATAGCTTTTTTATATATTTATATGTATACATTTCATATTTACATGTAAAAGTTTATATTAAAGAGTGAAAATTAATTATCTTCTAAATTTAAACAGTGTCCAATGTTTGCATGCTTCACTAAGGGAAGCATCTATTATCCAGGATGAGTGAACAGTATAGCAAGAAGTGTCACCTACCAGGAGCCGTTTTCAGAGCACAGAATAGTCTCACTGAATAGAAACAGACATTACAATGGTATTCATTAAAGCAGTTCTACCTGTATAACAATCGGACACCTTCACAAAACTATCACCTCCTGGCTTTTGTTTTGCAGTGTCCGCATTGAATAAGAGGCTATCTTTGGCTTCTGCAATGTCAGAAACTGCAAAATGAAATCTGCAAAGTGAGTTTCATAACACCTGCTGGAAACTGGGGAGTGTGAAGTTAGCAGTGAGAGTACAGAAAAAATTTCTAAAGGTACAGCAAGGGTATTGTCTGGAAGTCTGGAAATTTTGCAAAATACTTTTCAAGAAAAATGGAAAACACGAAAAAGAAATACAGGGGGAAAATACAAAACCAGTCCTTTTTAAAAATTATTTTCAAAAATAGTTTTTGAAATGACCGACTTTTGAAATCATAGCAGCACTAATACCTATAAATAGGGAAATGCTAGTAAGAAAAATAAGAACTCTAAAGTGCACCATGAAGAGGAAAAAAAGTACAATTTTTAGAATCTGAATTCAGTTCTTTATTGATTTTATTAGGTCAATGCATGACTTTAAGAGAGAAAGGAAAATGTGCTCTGTGAAAATAGGGAGTGGCATTCAAAGTATCAACAGACCTGCCCCCTGGCCCCAATCCCAACATTTCTCTGATTCTTTTTGATCAAGGCACATAACCACCATCTGTAGTCTGAGCTCTGCCGAAACTCTGAGACAGACCTGACCACCCAAAAAATCCTCCCTGATCTACATCTTGACAGCTCAACTATCCTGTCAGTCATCTGTGATGATCTTTTAATTCAGCCTTGCTCTTTAGGACTTTCCTGGTGTCTAAGATCCAATAAATGGATCTGTGTCATTATCTTGTTCTTCTAGTACTGGAGTCTGACCCTGGTTCTCCTGAGCCTCAGAGCCTCAGAGCCTGAGGTCAGATCTCCAGTTCCCCTATTACTCAAGTTATATGATGCCAGTTCTTTCTCAGGGGTCACCGTGTTAGGCCTCTTGTGCCTGTTGTTAGATTCCCTTGTCCCTGTGTTCTGCTCATCTGCCAAGGCATTCACCTGATATCTACTTTGAATGGCCCTGTCATCAGTTAGCCAAAGCTAGACCTCCCTTTATCTTGTCTGCATCTGAGATTTGCCCCTACTGACTATCTTACAAAGCACTAATTCTGATGTTGACTCCAAAAGAATTCAGGAGAAAGAGGAGTACTATTTAAATAATTGTAACCCCAAAGTCTGCCTGAAGCCCAACAAAGGGAATGCTATAAGGCAAGCAGAGACCTCATAAGAGAGGTGGTCTTAGAAGTAGCAGATGCTACCCATACTAACGAAGGCTGCCAAAAAGATGAGCCTTAGTTTCTCTTTAGCTCAATTTAAATAAATAAGCTGGGAGTGAGAAAAGGAGAATGCTACTGAGTTTGTAGAATATAGACTGAAAAAGTGCTTTTCATTTTTTCAAATATCTTTCAGGTGTGTACATCATTTCTCCTAATTCTTATAATTTTCCTGAGTGTTAGACAGGTCAAGAATATGGAGGCTAAGGGGGGTTGAACTTTTTGTCCAAGGCCACGGAGCTGCAAGTGATTGGCAGAGCTGAGAAATAATTCCAAACTCTAAAGTCAGTTGCTGAGAAATAATTCCAAACTCTAAAGTCTTTGTTCCTATGTCACATGTCACTAGATGGTAAGAAAGTGTAGGTAAAATGTAGCAGGCCAAAATGGATAATAGTTCTTCAGTGATAAGTTCTTTCTAAATTATAATGCCATATTTCAATTATTTAGATTATTTCTTAATTATTTAAAAATAATTTAAAATCCTTCAATCTCTGCACAAGTATTTATAAAAATATTAAACTCTCTTAGGTAATAAAATTTTTTCAGATGATTCTGTCATACCAGTTACATGTAGTTTCAATTATAAGTCAAAAGTGTAGAATATGGTACAAGTAACAGAAATTAGTGATCTACTGCAGGTAGCATGGTTGGGCTTTGAGACATTCCATTCTCCTGCCAACTCAGCCAAATCAATAGTATTTAAAAACAAAAGTAGAAAGGCAGCAGCTATGAATGCAGCAGATAGCTAATAATCAGTATGTGTAAGCTAATAGATATGCTGGTTGGGAAACTCTAGTTTGAAGGGGTCCTAGTTTAACTTTTGAGTCTTAGATTATGCCAGGGAGACTCAGAACTGCTGTGAGATTTCCCGAAAGGTGGGTTTCTTTCAAAGAGAAACAGGAGACATTTTTTTTCCAATAGGAAGTACTCAACCTGAGCATGAATCTCCAAATCTAAGGAAATTCTTATACCTTGAACAATCCTCAAGTTATTTTATGATGAAGTTTAAAAATACTCAGAAAAAAAAGCTGGCAGTTTTTATTTTTCCCAACTTTCCAAATTCCCCTGGAGCACATGTTATTTGGACCTGAACATGATGCTCTGCAGTGTATGCTGCAGATGTATTTGATTTCATGCAGTGGCAATACGGAGGTTTAAAAATGATAAACGTGGACCAGGACCCTCTAGAAATCTACATTTCTTGGTATAAAGGAAAGAATTTGGACTAAATATGAATATCTATTAAAATATAGCTTTGGAATTTACTTATTACTTTCTTAATCCAAATAACACCATTTCTGATACTCAGGATCCCAGACAAATAGCAGGATTTGTGATGTTATGCCTCTGAGGTTCTTACCATGGCTAAGGTCCTACCCATCCTGCTATCTGTTGTTCATGAGGCAATTTAACTGGCTGCTTCTCAGCATCTGCTTTTTTAAAAAAAATCATTATTAGTATAGTTTTTATATTATTTAAAATTCAGCTACTCATAGAAAGAACAAAGTACCCTACCTAGTTTGGAGTACTATACTTCAAAAATTATTATTTGAAGATTTACTGTATATAGAAAATATGTTGAGCAATGAAGAGGTGGCTAGAGATAAGAGAGACCTCGCTCTTAGGGACAAAAATATCTACTATTGATAAAATAAAAGAGATGTGAACAAAGTGCTGGGAGTGTGGTAAGGCTACTAAATTCTCTTTAGGGAAACGCTTCCTAGAGACGCAAATTTGGAGTTTATGGGATAAATTGTAGACCTAGAGAAAAGTATGAGTGAAATAACAGAAGGTGTGGCTAAACCTGAAAACTTCAGATAGTCTGTTGTAGAGGAACAGATCATGACTGGTTGAGCATTATAGAGAATAAAAGAGCAACAATGGATTGGAGCCAAAATACTGAGGCTTAAACATCAAGGTAAAGAATTTGAACTTCATTTTGTTGGGAGAAGTAAGGGAATAGCTTAATCTGATATGATGTATAAAGGGGATTCCAGTTGTAGTAGAAAATAATTTTTAAAATATCTATCAAACAATTTTCTAAAGTAAACCACAGTTGATAAAGGCAGGTTATTATTATTTTATCTAAGTTTACAAAATGAATTATCTGCTCGAATTTACCAAAATTATGATTCAGGTATCATAAGGAAAAAAAAATAATGATGGAAAATTGCTACCAAAATAGTATATGTAATCGAAAAGTAAATTCTTCTTGCAAACTTGTGAAGAACCATTAGCATGCTTCCCAACAGTCAGTAAAAATAGATTATAAAATATCTTCAAATATATGACAAATAGAGTTGAAGAATTTAAAGAGTTTGTAATTGAGATTTTAAAAGGACTGTCTTGCTAAGCATGCAACGATTTTTATCCTAATTAAGCAGTACTCATTTTTTTCTCTCACAAATTACAATCAGGTCCAAAATGCTTTCTTTTTCTTTTTCTGTCTATTTTCTTTTTCTTTTCTTTCTTTCTTTTTTTTTTTTTGCAATTTCATGAAGAATACAAGAAACAAAAAAAAAAAATCTCTGGATATTTTTCAAGATAAAGGAAATGATACTTCATATATAACTCTTTCCAACCCCCATTCAGATATATTAGTGCTCCCCACCAGCCCCCCCCTTCATTAGCAAAGCCAACATATTATTGTAAAGGGTAGAAGACTTGACAAATATCAGATAATAAATACAATGCAAATGTAATTAAAATATTTGAAACTATGTGGGAAATTATACCACTGAGCATTAGAATATCGAGATAGTGGGTGATTAAGAGAGCAATAGAAACATGAGTGTGCAAGTTACTCCTACAGGAATAAAAATAGGGTTTAAGGGATTATTGTCAGAAAATTAAATGTAAACACACATAAAATAATTAAAACAGTTCCTGTCGTATAGAAAGCGCTTCATGAATATAACTACCATGTTGCCTGAGAACTGGTTTATTT